CCCGGCAAGAGAATTTGGATAGGGGCTGTGGAAGGGAACGGAGTAACTGCACAAGATTTATGTCTTAAAGCAGAGGTCTCCAAACTTGGCAACTCTAAGACTTGTGGACTTCAACTCCCAGAATTCTCCAGCCAGCATAGCTGGCTGGAGAATTCTGGGAGTTGAAGTCCACAAGTCTTAAAGTTGCCAAGTTTGGAGACCTCTGCTTTAAGACATAAATCTTGTGGGGTTACTCCGTTCCCTTCCACAGCCCCTATCCAAATTCTCTTGCCGGGTGCCTCAAATTTTTCTCAGTTAGAAGCAACAACCCAGAAGGGCCGTCAGAACCCAGCCTTTGTTTCCAACTTCTGCCTCTGAGGAATGTGCCTCCTGCGCTAAATAAGGCACCCATCGGTATGGCGAAGTGGGATTTGCAAAAAGGGGAATGACATGACCAAGATCACTTCACCAAGCTCAGTGCAGCATTGTAAAATATTCACTGTGTTTAAAGTGTAAGTGTGTTGGGGGGGGGGTGTTGTGTGCATGAGCACTGGGTAGAGTGGGTGATGAATGAATACCGTGGATTCATAGATCAACTACATTATTTAACAAAAGTGAAGAAATGCTCTGTGGTCTGATATTCTGCAGGAAAAGCTGAAGCGCTTTTGAACCAGGCCTTCATGCTGTCTCACCCACCAACAAGGTCACCAGGAGTCTTGTATTTTTCCTATTTTACAAACCTGCAGGGCAACTTGAATTCCGCAATTTCTTTAATAGGGAAGAAGGAAAAGTCACAGAATCCTACTTTCTATGAATCTCTTGTCTATGGAGATTCTCAGTCATCCAGGTCATGGTTGTGTTCCAAAGCTGTTTTTCCATGAGATAGCTGGACTTTCTGATTTTGCTTTGAAGATGTTTCGCTTCTCATCCAAGGAGCTTCTTCAGCTCCTTCAGAGCTGAAGATGCTTCTTGGATGAGAAGCGAAATGTCTTCAAAGAAAAAGCACCTTTGAGAACATATGAATCTCTTACCATTTCTATTGGATTTTTTAAAAAAATGTTTCTGCCCTTCTATTTATTCAATTTATTGAGGAAGTTATGTTAAAATGTATATGTAAGGCTTGGGGATGCTATAAAGCCAGCAGAGCCACTGGAGAAGATTTAAAATAGGAAAAGGGTGAGGCTTCACAATTCTTTATCCCTTCTTGGATTCTCCTATAATTAACACCACTGTGCAACATAAGGCAACTCATTAATAAATTAGGTTATTCTGCATACAGCAGACAAAAATCCAACTTAAAAAAAAAACTAAACCAAAATTATGCCCTTGGAATTATTTGTCATTTTGTTTTGAAATAGTGTAGTTAGAAAAAAAATATTTCTGACATACCCATTCACAAATACGTGTAGGTACAATTGCAAGGCTGATCAAGTTGGCCTTAAAAAAATGTAAATGTTACTTTAGGCTTAACTGTAGCATGCAAGATCTGCTCCTGCCTTTTACAGCACCTTACTGTTTTGTATGCATCGCACAGCATAGGTCAAGTCCCTGAAGATGCTCCCTTCCACTCTGGCTTGTCCCTGGGAACACAAAAAGATGCCACCTTTTCCGTCCCTGAAAAGACATTTCCTCACAAGGCACCCTTGCATGGCATTGGCGAGACACTGAGCCTCCTTATCTTGCTGCAGCTCCTGGGCCAAAGGTTTTAGCTCATAGTCACTCTGAAGGGCTGGTAATCCATCAGTTGACGGCCTACCATGGACAACCTTGGCCAGCATGTGGCTCAAGCTATGCGCCTGGTAAGGCAGTTTGTACAGCGACTCGTCCTCATCCTCATTCTCACTGCTCAGGCTCAGTTCACTGTCACTGGAATCCGTGTCTATAGTCATGGCCTCTTCTTTATGTGCTGGGTTAAGGTTCCCAGATAGCTCCCTTTCCTTCTCGAGGCCTCTCCTCGGCACCACTTGAGTCTGTGAAACAGGAAATATATGACTTGGGTTTTCGGCTACCACAATGTCGCAGGTCCTCATGTCTGACAGTGGATGAGTTCCCTGGCTCTCAAATTTTGATATATTGCAACGGGAGGGCTCAGATGACTGCAGCAAGACAGAGCGAGATTTCGCCAACATGGTCAAGTGCTTGCAGGCCCAGTTCCTATCCAAAGATGGACTTCCTTCCACTGTCACCGAAGTATTTTCACTGCCAACAAATTCGCAGTTTTCCAGGAGACAGATAGCCACGCTATGGAAATGAATGCTGGACTGATTGAAAGTGCAGAATTTAACCTGGCAGGTCCCAGGAGCATGAATCTGCAGCTGACTGTTTTCAAAATTGCAGTTGTCAAACTGGACGTGGCCTGAGGTTGTCTAAAAAAAAGAGAATGAAACCAGATCAACCTATTTTCAATTTTAACAAAGCAATCAAAGAGGAAAGTCATTCTCCAGAGAAGTATTGCCTGTGAATAGATACAGAATCTCCTCGTCTGCCATCTTCTAATTGTGCTGATGGGAATGAAACAGAGAGACCAGGATACCATGGCAGCTCCTAACCAAACATGGAGATGAAACTGTCAACTAAAAAATATTTTTTTGGTCTTTTTAGTTGCCAGCAGAAAGGGAGGGGGGGAAGTAGTGCATTCCTCAAATGCTTCAGATAATTGCTAGGCAGCTGAAGCTGTTGGCAGGCAAGATTATTACTGGAGAGCATGATTGATGACTCTTGGTTATGGATGTGTCCCATTGGAGAATATATATCCAGGGGGTGGGGGAAGACCAGGGTCAAGGGGAAATGAATGATGTGTCTTAGTGTCGGCTGCACCCAAGTAACGCCGAAATGGTCACTCCTAATAAATCTTTTTTTTTTTTTAACTCTGAGAGATGCGGCTAGAGACTTATGATTTGAATGGGGGTGGATCTGTCGGAGCCTTTACAGCAACAAGTATTGATTCTTCCTCTGACTAACTCATGATGTTTTCATAGCAATATATACTGCCCCACTGTGTTTTACAGCATTCTCTGGGCAGTTTACAAATTTTAGTATATTGTCCCCAACAATCTGCATCCTCATTTTACCGACTGCGGAAGGATGGAAGGCTGAGTCAACCTTGAATCTTTCAGAATCAAACTCCAGACTGTGGGCAGACAATATTGCATTCCAACCACTGGGTCACCAGGGGTCCTTTCATGCTTGAAAAAAACAAAACCTTGTCTACTGTTGATCTAACTTAGCAGGATATCCTTCTTATCCTGATGCCATCCAGATGTGTTGATTAAATTCCCACAAACTATACCAACTATAAGTTGAGTTAACCAGAAATTCCAGATGATGTAGCTCACCATGTCAAGTCAGGCCTCCTGGAACCCTTCTCCAATCTGGTGGCATCCAGGAAACAACAGCCACACTGGTGGGGAACACTGGGGCATGCATTTAAAAGGCCCAAGTTAGGAAAACCTTTGTGTGGATTCTGCCACATTGCCCAGATCTCCCCAATTCTCACATTACTATTCTTCAGGGAACCCCAAGTCCTGGACGCTTCTTCGGATCCTTCCTTCATACTCACCTTATATATTACTGGTGTGAACCAGGCTGGCATAAAGACCAAATTGCATAACCTCATTGTTGGACAGTGCTGGTCAAAGCTCACTAGAAGAGCCACATCCCCGAGCTTGCCCTTTCCCATGATTTCCACAGGAGCCTTGAGAAAGATTTCACTCTGTTCCTCATACATTCCTGGAAGCAGGACAATCCGGTCATACATGCTGGCTGAGAGCAAGGCACTCCTTAGGTTGTCAAACTCACAGCCAGGCCCAACACAAAGAACCCGCCTGTCCTTCTTCCTCCTGAATAAGTAGAAGCAGTTGGAGGAATCCAGATCGTGGCTGTTTTTGGTCCAGGTTTTAGAAGAGAGATAATGCTGCTTCAAAGCTTCTCTCCATGACCAAGGCTCCACGCCAGGCTGGTTAGGCCAGTTTGGATGCCGGCATTCAATGCAACCAAGGCACAGCTGTCTCCAACGTGTGTTGTCCAGGCTGAGGATGAGTTCGTACCATGCTCTGCACACCAAACTGCAGCGGCCAAGGTCAGGAAGACGCAAGTAGGACAATATTAAGCGCCACAGTTCTAGTGGGAGTCCACTGATCTCCATAATCACCTAGGAATAATGGGACAAAAAAACAAAAATTTAAGAGATCATCATCTGCCTTCTGTGCATCTTTGTTTGGATTTAACTGAACATGGTGGGAGTTGAGATATACCCATCAAATCAATATATCCCTTTTCCTCTTTTCTCTACTTATTTGACTCAGCAGCAGGTTCTACTAGAGGACGAGATGAAGGAACAAACCAGAAGGTCAATTCATAGCTTATAAGAGAAGGAGGCAGAAAATTATAATAGTAATTGACTTTCCAATCACAGTTAGAAGGAGGGGAAAACTCACCAATTAATTTGTGGTAGATTATCAAGGATTTCTGACCCTTTATAGCTTGACAATAACTGAATAAAATCAAAAGCTTAAAAAAAAAACCTGACAAACACCATTGTGTGTTAATTACTTAACCTCTGTGTTCCTTACCTATGTTAACAGAAGTATTGAACAGTAGTCTTCAACTAGGTTTTTGTAGCCTTGATGAGCATTTCCTGATCTACAGTAATCCAGATCTTGATTTCTATTTGCATATATTTTGGGGGTGTATACTTCCAGTGGCCCCATGGCTGCATGACTCCAACTTTATCCTCACAGAGCCAATGGATGGAAGCTTTAAAGAGGGAGATACAAACATGAAATAAGAAATTTCCCGACTACGAAAACTAGTAAGCAATGGAATAACCTGTCTCCTGAAACCAAGGATGTGCCATCACTGAAAGTTTTCATTAAAAGATTCCATGACCACTTTTCCAGCATGGTATGAGGATTCCTGTGCTGGATGGAGAACTGGACTAAAAGACCTCCAAGCTCCCTTCCAAACCTACAATTCTATAAACTTTGCCACACAGTCCCTTTATAAATACTTTTATACTATAATTCTGAACAGGGGAGATAGTAAACACCTAGGAAAGAATTAACTCAATCTCCATTTAATCACAATGACAATATGTCCTGGTTCTATTCACTTGTTAGTTTCCCTTTGCTTAAAAAAAGGCTGTGCTCTCCTACCACATAGGCTTACAACTGGGGAAAACATTTGAAATAGTCATGTGCCTCTGGGGGGTCATGGCTGCTTTTAACTCTTTATGAAACAGTGGTGGTTCACATGCACCAACAAGTTATGTTAAACACCAGTTTTGAACACTTTGTACAATCCTAGTATAAATATGAAGGGTATACACCATTTTGGACAGGTTCCAAATGGTTAAACTGAGTAAACTCTCCAGGACAATTTCTAATTAAACTAGGTACCAAAATATTTAGATGTTTGTTTGCTCAAACACAAATTCTACAACAGAGCAAAAATTAAATTAGAAAGGGTTTTTTTTCCTCCTTAGGTCACATCTGTACAGCCTATAAATGCTCTTTAAAACAGTATTGGCATAAAATGTGTGACATGAAGATCACACAGATTGATCATACGTATAACCCCTTTGAATTATGCAGGAAGTGTAATTGCTGCTGGCAGAAGTGCACATGCTGTATTAAATATATTTGATTTTGCATGGTATGAAATAAATTTGAATTGATATGTGTTTTTTAATCTCTGCTGAAAATTCAAAGACCTAATCTGTATTGCTATAAGGAGGGTGAATCAGATGGTAGACTTGTTTTAAATCAAGAAGATTGCTCTTGTAGGTGCGGGATTGAAACAAAAAAAAGCAACCCTTTTGGAATAAATATACCTTCAAAGGCAATTTGTGATCTTGCACATTATAAATAGTAACAGCAAACCATTATGCAAAGAATATGCTGTTAAAACTCAGCCACATGGAGACAAATGGGGCTGAATAAATAGAAGCATATATAATACACGGTCAACTGTGGAGAAAATCCCTACCTGGTCAGATTCTGATTTAATTTAAGAAACAGTACAGTAGTACAAATACTTAGTATATTTAATAGTATATTAGTATAGTAATATTATTATTAGTATATTTATTTAGTATATTCAACTTAGTATATTTACCTTTAGGCAAACTTGTCATTGCAACTGTATTGTACACACACACACGCACACCAATGCACACCAACTTTATATGACACAGAATTCTCTATGGCTCACTGATATCCAATCTTTTGGCTTGCCTGAGCTAAAGAGAGTGAAGAGGAACTTCTTGGAGTGTGCGTATATACTGTATTTGCATATATTTGTATTTCTCTCTCCCCCCCTCTCTTTCTTATATTATATTGTAGATATTATTATATTATATTATATTATATTATATTATATTATATTATATTATATTATATTATATTATATTATATTATATTATATTATATTATATTATATTAATTATTATTATATTATATTATATTATATTATATTATATTATATTATATTATTAATTATGTTATATTATATTTTGTATTTATTAGCTGTCCAGGGCTGGATGTGGCACAAGTTGGACACATCTGCTTAAGAGAGAATTTAACTTTTTTAGTTATCTTATATGAAAAAAACATTAAATGTTGCACACACATACACATATACGCCATGCTTTTTATTGCTGCTGACCATATGGCACCCACCCGAGATTCTCAGCTCTAGTCATCTTCCAAAAAGCTGTTAAAACGTGGCTCTTTTGAAGATAAAGATATCTTTGCCTCCATCTGTTTGGCAGTATGCTATTTTAATTCTGTATGATTTTTTCATGAGAGCCAAAATGAGTTTCTTAACCCCTTAGAGGTGTACTATTGCAGCAGCACCTACAAAAATAATTGTGATGGAAATAACAAGTTCATGAATAAAATGCACATTCAGTTCAAAATAAGCTTTCTCTTGCATTCTGTCTAATAATCCCAGTCCCAGATACAGGTAGCGCTCTACTTACAACCACAACTCTAGCGCAAAATTTCTGCGGCTAAGAAGACAATTATTAAGTAAATTTTACCCCATTTCCTGACCTTTCTTGCCACTGTTGTTAAGTGAACTACCGCAATTGTTAAGTTAGTAACACGGCTGTTAAGTGAATCTGGCTTCCCCATTGGCTTTGCTTGTCAGAAAGTCACAAAAAGTGATCACGTGACCCTGGTACACTGCAATTGTCATAAATAGGAGACAATTGCCAAGTGTCTGAATTTTGATCGGGTGAACATGGGAATGCTGCAATGGTCATAAGTGTGAAAAGTGACCTACCTGTAATTGTTTATCTAGGTAATTTTCTTCAGCCATGTGCCTGAGTACTTTTCTTCTGCAAAAGTGCTCTTAGGGAAGAATTCACTTCAATCCATAGACATTTCAGATTACAAATCCCATTAGGCTTACTTGCTTAGAATCTGGTGAATTACCATCTAATCCAACTGGGGAATATTGAGTTGAAAAAGGCCTGCTTTTCACACACATATATATATACACACACACACACGTGTTGAATTGCTGCTTTGCATTTCTAAGCTTTGGATTCAGTTTTGTATTACAACGTTGCTTTCCAACCAGTGATTTTTGTATTTGAGGTTTCTGGCAAACCTGACACTTGGCTGTTTAAAAGCACAGATGGATAGAAGCAGCTCTGCTACAGATGAGGCAGTAGTAATGTCGGATGGACACTGAACGGCATCCCCCTCCCCCACCAGATTGCCCTGTTACATGAGAGAACTCACAAATCTTTTTGACATACAGTGTGCCATCTCTTCCAAGAAGTTTTGTGCAGAAGAAACATGGTATAGACTTTAAAATGTCATGCAGAATTAAACAACACCTCGCCCTTTCACAGAACAGAAGAGAAACAAACACTTTTTTTTTTGACACACATGAGACTTGAAGGAGAGAGAGGATACAAGCTGTCCAAAATAATGGCTTTCTGTATAATTAGACCATATATTAACCAAGTGGCTTCTAACAGTTATCAGGATCTAACCTGAAGCTAGAGAATTTGCTTGGGTGCCATGTCCAAGAAATTAATCTCAAAAAACTGCAGAGGAAATCAAATGCTTCACAGCTTCACTGTTCTAGATTTACTTTCTTCCGAGTGAGATTCAACTGGACCAGGTGAGACTGGGTCATTCAATTACTTGTGATAAAAAAGGGGAGCAGAATTATCAGTCTTGGGGTCCCAGCATAACCATTTTGGATTTCGCTCTTTTAAACCTGAAGATATATCCAGAACAGTAGTTCATACAGAACAGTGTTGTCTACTTTTTCTAGGTTTTGTCATTTTGTTCATGGTTTTCCACAGCAAATAATTTCCATAGTTTTATTTATTGCCCAAAGCACATAAAAATTGACATGAATAATATATGAATTTAATTAGCCCTGGTATGTATGTTGCTTCGCTGTATTTTGCTTAGAGCTGACTTTTGTTAATTTGGTGATTGTATGAATTATGTGTATCTGTGAACTTAAACTTTTGAAACACCATTTGAGAATAGAAATTGAAAAGCAATTAGTACAATCTGCATATAAAGTGCTTTTTCAAATGTAATTCAGAGGCATTAGAGGAGGGAGCAGAAGTGAGAGTTCAGCTCACCAGCCCCAATGCAGTAACAAACAGTGAACCAAATTCAACTTCATATGAAAAAACACCCACAAACTCAACAGAATTCCCCATCCCACCCTGATCTCTCCCTTGCACCAAACATCACCCATATCTGCAGATTTGGATGGTACACAGAAAGAAGTAAATTCATTCCATCAACGGCTTCTTTCTACTGATGGAAGGTAACATATAAGATTTATTAACTTCTACTTTCTTCACACAAACTATTGATTATAAAATGCTGAAAGTATCACTTCGTTGTTATGATAGTCGGGTTTTTAAACCAATCCAGGAAAACCACACACTCTTGCAGTCTCCAGATCTACTGAAGGACCTCTTAACTTTGAATAGATCGGCAGCACACAAACACTTTTAAAATGAATTCAAACCCTGCATGCTTAGACCCTGAGATCCAAATCTGCTTGAGCAAGAGACCACCAGAGTAGTGGAGATGGGGCAGGCAAAAGGTCCCAGAAGAAACTATTCTGCATTATCCATTCTTAGAAATATTTTTTTCTGCC